ACCTTGAGGGACTTGACAACATTTTTCTTTTGGCCAAGTGCCTAGGAAGACACCAAGGTGTATGATTAATAGAGAGCACAAACACACACCCGTGCACGTCCTAAAGCTTATTTATAATAATATTGTATTATAACTCTTGTGCAGTGTTATTACTTCTACTCCTGATGGTGCTGCTTTTGTCACTGAATAGCCAAAATCCTTATAGTAGGAGGGGGAGTGGAAGGGGAAGACAAGGAAAATATTTTCATTAAGGGGATGGGATGGGACGGGACGACAAAGAGTCTAATAGGATTGGTTTAATAATTCCACAGAAAAATCATGATTCCAGGACTTTAGCTGGATCTTCCTCTCCAGCATTCCCTCCGTTTGTGGAAAAGCTCTGTCCTTGCCTCTCCTATACAAAGAATGAGATGCTGGGCAATGAAAATTCCGGCAAATTTACTGAGCATAATATTTGTTCTTACTGCTTCATTTTCCATTCATGAATTCTATTTTGCAGCCCTAAACAAAAGCAATTATCATTTGCCTCTTTTCTGTGAAACACATTTTGAACACATTACTAGCACGAATTCTCATAAAGCTGAAGGATCTGACAGATGCTGGAAGATACAGGAAGGCTCCGTCCATGCTATGCCCCCTCACCTATGTAGTATGGTGCAATGAGCCGTGCCAAATTATGTGGGGGTTATGGGATGCCTTTGATGGGGTATCAGTGAGCAGCTGAGGGGATTCAAGTGGGGAGAGGGGCTTTGGTGGTTGTACAGTGACAGTAGAGGACATTAATGGGAGCAAGAGGTAAAGAAAAAGAAGATCAGTTCAAGGAGAGGTGCTAGCAATGATGCTGGAGACTGGCAAAGTCTGGTTTAGGTGGTTCAAGCAAAGCAGCATAAAATGGAGCAGCGTTGGGCCACTTCAGGAGGGAGCAGGGGGTGAGGATTGTAGTGTGGGTATGAGAATGATTAAGAAGGGTGGATGAGAAAAGCCCATGGTAAACACTGGTAGAAGGGAACAGAAGTATCTGATGAGAGAAAAGCATGGCAAAAAGGGTGTGAGAGGAAAACACTACTGTACTGCAGGAAAGGGTTGTAGTACTCCTGAATCTCACTGTTCCTCACCAGCAGCAAATACTAACAAAACCTCAAGGTAAATCATGAGTCACCTCCTCCTTCCCTATTGCTTTTCCATACAAAAGGTGGCAGCTGGGTGCTGCTGCCAGCTGATCAGCTTGTTCAGCAGTTGAGGCTTTTTAATACATGGGAAGGTTACAGGCCTGCTGATGCCTCATTGAAGTGTAAATATAAATCCATTTGAAATGACATAAAATATATGAGAAGAATATACAGATTGTGAAATCAATTACTACAGGGACGGAAAATGCCAGTAATAAGGTTATATTGGCAAACTTACTATGGCTCCATGGGCTATATATATTGTTTTCTCTGCAGGACTTTATTTTCTCCATAAAATTATCATCTTTTTCAAGGCAAATGAAGGACTGTCTTTGGAGATGAAGCGGGACTGTACTGTGATGTGGTCGTTGTCAATAAATTCCTGCCTTGACCCATGACAGAAGTTGGAAGGAGTATAGAAATTGGAGCTGTGCAAGGACAGGGAGGTATTCTGAAGGCAGCTGGTACCTACCTTCAGAACCGGTTTGGCTAATGCATTACTGCTGTTTGTAGGTGGCTATTCCTGCATGCTCCTGGTTTGTTGGGTACCCAGGCTGAGAAACAGCTGTACTATTTTCTTTGCAAGGGAAGTCAAAGGAAGCTGTGCTTTGAATATGAAAGACTGTGTAATGCTCAGTACTCTGAAAGATCAGTGCTTCACACCAAACACCTATGCTTAGTGAAGTCTTCAATGCTGCAGGTATTAACAGGGGATTATGTACCTCACCTCAGAGGCATTCATCAGATACTTCATTGATGAGCTCCACAGGAAAGAGAAAAAAAGCCTTTGAAGAAATAAGTAATTCTGGATGCAGAGCTGAGTTTGTGTAGTCCTAACAGTAGATAAGCACGAGTCCACACATTAAAAGGCACAGATTAAACGAAAGACTGGATAACTTAGTGTTCAGGGAGCAGTGTTTATCCTGTACAGTGATTCAGTCTAGTGGAAAAATAGTATCCAGTCATGAAATTAAGGACTTGTACTTAATGCACATAATCAAGTAGGATTCAGGCAGAGTCCGAGCAAACTTTTCATTATCCTGAGTACTTCATTCTTCTAATGTATGATTCTGTTTTGTTTGATCTAAGTATAATTAATCATGAGGAAGGTAGATATGTTTAAGAGGAACGTAAAGATGTATGCTTTTTCCTTCTTGCTGAGCCAGTGAAAGGACTAATTCACACTGATCCCAGTTTGTATGGTGGTCTCAGAAGACAAGAAATAGAAAACAGTTCACTATGCTGCTGTGAGAAATCTGTAACCTTCTACAAACCAGCCTTTGCTCAATTTAATGAGCAACATGCACCCAGAAGCAGCAGCCCTTCTGTGAGCTTTCTTCAAAATTTCCTATGTCTTCGTTTTGCACAGACAGAAGATCAACAAAGTTCTTCCTTCTCAAAACTCTTTCAGTCCAGACCTTCTCTTTGTAAAACTTAAGGCTTCACAGGAAATTTTGCTTTTGCAAATACCAGCTCGTGAATCACCTAATGAAGCAATTCAAAGCCTTGCCTTTTTCAAGCTGAAATACCATGTCAGCACTCAGAAGAGCAAACCATCTACTTCTCATCTCACACTGTATGATCTGCACAAAGTATTTTGTCAATAATTTTACTTGCTGAGGATAGGGTGAGTTAAAAACTAATAGTTGCTAAGCCACATGTTTGTGTTACTATGTTCCCTTTGTTTATCATTCTTTCTTTTAGAGAGATCAGTGAACCATGAACAGGTGAAATTATGACAATGTCTAGCATTGACAAAATATGAGGCTAGCAAATTTCTTCCTCTTAGTTTTATTTTTCAATATACAATACTGACAGGAGAGTAGTTTTTTTCTGTGTCTAAAGCTGACAGTCAAGATACAGGCAGTATTGAATGTGGAAACTCTGAAATTAGAAATCAGTATTGGTTGGGCTTTTTTGCTGCTAATTTTCCTGCTTCAATCCTAAAAAAAATCTGCCCTTTAGTTTCTTTCTGGTATATGTCATAGAATTTGAATTATAGAATAAGAATTTCCTCTGTCATTCTTCTTGCAAGTGTGCATTTCAATGCAAGGCAGATGGCACAGATTATTTTATATTCATAATGCATATAGCTCTAGGAGAGCCACGCCGCAGCGTGCTGATGCTGGCTGCATGGGTTATGTATTCCCAGGAGACCGACATGTTCAGAATGCATTCTTTTGCCCTTTCCCCTGTCGTCTCATGTTTTGCTATGATAGAAGCACTAGCAAATGAAAGGCTTGTTATTGATTTCTGTGCAGATGTTAATAATTTCTGTTTAACTCTGCATTGGAGTGGCAGTAACTGATGTACAAAATTTGACATCTTAATTATTCCTTGATGGAAAGGAGGGCCACTAACCTGGGGTACAGCAGCCTATTAACTCTGGATCTGTGGATTCAAAGCAGCCTTAGGTCACAAGTGAAATGAGTGAGGCTGTCTCAGTGTAGTCTTTATGGATGTTTGTTTGTTTCTCAAAGCTGCCAGACTGTTTTCAATGAGTCTGGAGCAGAAGGAAGCAGAAATTCTGAAACAGAAAATATTTTCTATCCAGTATTGCTAGCCTCGCTGAAATTACGAGTACTAGAAAACTCAGGAGAAGCACCATTTGGGAGCTCCCCAACCTTATTGCTAGATGCATTGAAATACGCATACAAAATGCTATTGTTTTCCCAATCAAAATAGAGGTTTAAGAATTTTGATGATTGTCTGTCAGTCCTATCCAGTAGAAATAGGTTTATTTCCCACAAATTGCAGCTGTTTTTTTGATTCCCATCAGCTGGGAATGTTAAGTGGATGACCAAGGGCACACATGCACCCTAGGTATTAGCAGATACTGATCAGTGACCCCCCAAAATCTGATCCGTAACCACTGACAGTATTGCTATTATTACAACAGTGAAAGCCATTCATTGAACAGGAGGTAAATATTGGGCTATTGTCTTTACTTTGAGCTGTATGTAATGATTATCCACAACCTTTAGTGTAGGAGATGCCCTCTTCAAAAAGGATACTATCTTCCAACTAGTCAGCTAGTCAACCTGTGCATCTCGTAGCTAAAGCTCCCTTAAAAATATATTGTATGTTTTTGACTACAGAATTGGATGAACACCACGGAAATGTTATATATGCATCATTATGCTGTTAAAATTGTCATGCTTGACAATTCCCATTCTTAGTCCAGTCATAGCCCCTCAATAAGGCATCAGCATTTCAAAAGCTATCCTGTTCTGAACAATAGAGTAAATGGCAAGAACAGAAAATTTGATTCCTGTCTCAGCGGAAGAAAAGATCTAATATGAAAGAACAATTGTGAGAAGTCTTAAGGCCTGATTGTTTTGTATTTCACCAGTATCGTCCAAAATTAATTTCAGTGATTTAACTACTAGTGTTATTGAATCATGCAGTGCCCCAGCAAGCAAGAAAAACTTTGAGTCCTCAAATCTAATAGTCTACATTCTTGTCCTCCAGAGCTTGGCCAGAGTTTGCTTGTACACTGCACACTGGAAAAGGGCAGCAGTCTGCTGCAGTGGCTCCTTAACAGTCCCCAGTGCTGGTCTGCAGCTCTGTATTCACAAAGATGACAGTGCTGAAGGAGTGAGACCAGAAGACAGAGGGGGAACTGGGAAGACAAAAGAAGTTTAACTCGTAGTCTAGGGTCTTTCAGTGTGCTCAGCTGCAGACACAAGATAGTGCAAACCTGAGGAACAGAACTAATTAGGATTCCATTAAAAGGAGGGGAAAAAAATCTTACTGAGACCCAAGTCACATCACAATGGTCAAAGTGAAACCTCGATTGCTAATGCAGCCTTAATTCATTTTATTTTGCAGAGACAGCAAGCTCACCATGTTGCTTCGAGAGTCCCTGGGGAATATGAACTGCCGCACCACAATGATAGCTCACATTTCAGCCGCTGCGGGGAACTATGCTGAGACGCTGTCCACTATCCAGATTGCATCAAGAGTCCTCAGGATGAAGAAAAAGAAAACTAAGGTAAGGCAATGTATAGCTTCCTTCTCGTAAATGCTGGAGGGGGGAGCAAGGAGGACTTTGAAGGTTCCTTAATTGGGTAGAACAGCAAATACAACATCAGTAATCAATTCCAAAGTGCAGAGGTTATATGAACTGTCCTAGGCGAATGGCTCAGAGCATGTATCAGAAACTAGGGGGGGTAAACACTTCAGCTTCAGATAGAGGAATGACTTCAGACGTATCTGTTATAACAGGTACGTAAGCTGGCCTTGCTTAGTGATACAGCCAAGAGCATAAATTTTCAATTATATTCTTAGTACTAATGAAATAATAAGGAATGAAAATACTGTAAAGAAAATTGGGATTAATGAAGAATTAGATTCTCTGTGTTTCTCACAGAGAGCAGGAACAAAATAAATGCAAAGCAATGTTTCCATTGCCAGTACCAGTGCTCCTTTTATTCTGACTGCTTCTAAATATGGGTGATTGATTTTCCAAGAAGTAAAGAGATGGTGAGCCGTATCCAATTCTGTGCTTATGGAGGCCTGGTTCCTTCTGTATAGCTTGCATTGGGAATTGGGTACAACCAGTGAATGTCTGATTTAAATTGACTGCCTATGGATTGACAAAAAACTTTGAAGAGAGACAAGAGAAGGAAATCAGTCCACACACCATCAGAGCAGTGTGCCTCCAGAGACTCTGCACACATTATACAAATCCACACGCTGGTAGTATGACCAAAAGGGATTGTCTGTATTTTCTGTGCCTTATTTGTGTAACGAGTTTTCTTGTTCCTCTTCAGACACACAAAATCAGGAAAGCCTTTGGCAAATACCTGATTTCTTTGGTTGGGCTAAATTAGAAAAGGGATACTGATTAATTTATTCAGTGCTTTTTATTTTTGAAATCTCATGACTCTTAAAATGGGACATTTAGAGCTGAGGCACTGTGTTCTCTGTTGAACACTGCCGTGTGTTTGCTATAAGACTGAATATAAGAGGCTTCAGAGGCTTCATTAGAGATTTCCCTGTTTAGATGCAACTCTGACTTTTTTGTGTGTGTGCTTTGTGCAAGGAAGTGCTTGCAATATTTAAATGTCATGGTCGCTGTCTCTCTGATGTTGCAGTACACATCAAGTTCTTCTGGAGGAGAGAGCTCCTGTGAGGAGGGCAGGATGCGGCGGCCAACCCAGCTGAGACCTTTCCATTCCAGAAACACCGTTGACCCAGACTTCCCTATTTTGCATTTGTCAAGTGATCCTGATTATTCGTCCAGCAGCGAGCAGTCCTGTGACACAGTGATTTATGTCGGCCCCAATGGCACTGCCCTTTCTGATAAGGAACTGACAGATAACGAGGGTCCCCCTGACTTTGTTCCCATAGTTCCTGCACTGCAAAAGACCAAAAATGAGGGAAGGCTGGAGGAAGGTAATGAATCAGGGCCCAGCACATCTGAAAGAGATTGCCTGAAGTGCAACACCTTTGCAGAGCTCCAGGAGAGGCTGGATTGCATAGATGGCAGTGAAGAAACCGACAAATTTCCCTTTGAAGAGATGCCTGCTCAATTTAGCTCAGACCAGATGTCTAAGTGCTCTGTCTCAAGCCAACTGGCAGAGCTTAGCCACTTACCAGAGTCAGATAAGGAAGATACAAAGCCAGAATGTCAGCATCCTGATAGAGAAGCCAAGGAAAATATAAATGCAACACCCAGCAAAACTAAAAGAAATCACTCCCCCATTCCTTCTGGAGCTCTTACTAATGTTTCAACTCCTTCTTCTCCCAGGAGTGTAACAGGCAGCTCTAGTAAAGAGCTGAGCTCTTGCCAGTTAGCACACAGCACCAGCTTGCAGAGCAGTAGAGAAGGTCTCAACACCTGTGGATTTGTGGAAGGCAAACCTAGGCCAATGGGTTCTCCTCGGCTTGGCATTGCAAGCCTCTCCAAAACCTCTGAGTACAAACCACCAACTTCTCCTTCCCAGAGGTGCAAGGTCTATACACAGAAAGGAGTCCTGCCCAGCACCACTCCCCCGCCAGCTCCTCTGAGTAAGGATACTGGGGTGACATCCAGTGAATCTTCATTACAGCCAGAAATCCGGACCCCACCTGTAGGAATGAGCCCTCAGATCATGAAGAAGTCGGTGTCTTCCAGCAGTGGGGATTTCGAAGAGACCATCCTTGACGAAGATCAGCAACAAAGCATTTCTCCTGAATCCAAGAAGGAGATACTGAGCACCACCATGGTGACTGTGCAGCAGCCATTGGAACTGAATGGAGAGGACGAGCTGGTGTTCACCCTCGTAGAAGAACTGACCATTAGCGGGGTCCTGGACAACGGGCGCCCAACCAGCATCATCAGTTTTAACAGTGACTGCTCCGTGCAGGCGTTGGCCTCTGGGTCTAGGCCAGTCAGTATCATCAGCAGCATATCTGAAGATCTCGAATGTTACTCCAGTGCAGCTCCTGTGTCTGAAGTCAGCATCACACAGTTCCTGCCACTTCCAAAGTTGGGCCTGGATGACAAATCCCAGGATGATGGCAGCAGGCGCTCATCTATCAGCTCATGGTTGAGTGAAATGAGCACAGGGAGTGATGGCGAACAGTCATGCCACAGTTTCATTGCCCAGGCATGCTATGGGCATGGAGAAGCAATGGCAGAACCCCCTGTGTCTGAGTTTGCAAGCACCATACAAAGTGCCAGCATGATCTGTGTAGGTGACAAACAGAAGCCAGTGACAGACAACATGCTCATACTGTCAGAAATGGGGGAGGAAGCTTTCGGCAAAGTGCCACCCATCAAAGGCTGTAAAATATCAGCTCTAGGGAAAACTACTGTCACAATTAAAAACACTGCAAGCCTCAGTAGCTGTGAGGGCTACATCCCAATGAAGACAAACATTACTGTTTATCCATGTATTGCCGTTAATCCCTTCAAAGCACAAGACACTGATGACGCTGTATCAGCAGTAACTGCAGACCCAAAGGCTGCCCATTCCCACGAGGGGAAAGAATCCAGTGCTAAGAAGGATATCAAATTTGAAGATCCTTGGCTGAAGAGAGAAGAAGATGTTAAAAAGGACAGCTCTGGGAGCATTGATGGGCCAAGGCCTGACATGGCCACAGTTCCAGCCAAGCCTGAGCATGGCACAAAGCAGTCCTCAGCAGATAGGTTTAGCAGCAGCAGTGGTGGGGACGCCTCTGTCTCCCCAGGATCTGACAGTCTGAAGAGGATCGTGGATGGGTGTGAGATGGCAGCATCAGGCTCTGCAACCCAAAGCCCCGTTCATTCCATTGATGGCCTGAAGAGCCGCAGCCTCCCTCGAGGGCTCCCAAAAGCAGGCAAGCTGGAGGAACCTGACAATCACCTCCAGCCTACGGTCACCGACAGCAGCGGAGCCAGCTCTCCTGCCCACCCTCAGCTTTCTAAGGCTAGCCTAGACAAAAAAATGGCCTCTCCCAAACACTGTGTCCTCACTCGCCCCAAAGGGACCCCTCCTCTGCCACCGGTGAGAAAGTCAAGCTTGGATCAGAAGAACAGAGCCAGCCCCCAGCACAGCGCGGCCAGCAGCACCACCAGCAGTCCCTCCAGCCAGCCTGGGCCCTTCCTGGCCAGCTTCCCCGAAGAGCTGAATGCCAAACCCAAGGGCCCTGGCATTGACAGCAGCAGCAACAACAGCAGCAGCAAGCTGTTCAGTGCCAAGCTGGAGCAGCTCGCCAGCAGGACCAACTCCCTTGGAAGGTCCACAGGAAGCCACTATGAGTGTCTCTCACTGGAAAGGGCAGAAAGCCTGTCCTCTGTGAGCTCCAAAATGAACCCTGGAAAAGACACCACCATGCCGAGGGCTGGGAGGAGTGTTAGCCGCAGTGTCATGTCCTCACCAACCAACTCGGGGCTCTCACAGTCTGCAGGGGCCTCCCCAAAAGCTGGCCAGTCAAAGATCTCTGCTGTCAGCAAGCTCCTGTTGGCGAGCCCCAAGGCCCGAAGCCTGTCTGCCTCTGCCACCAAAACACTCAGCTTTTCAACCAAGTCTCTGCCTCAGTCCGTCGGGCAGAGCTCCAGTTTGCCTCCAAGTGGGAAGAATATGTCCTGGTCAACACAGTCCCTCAGCAGAAACCGAGGCTCCAGCCTGGCTTCCAAATTGCCGCTTCGGGCTGTCAACGGGCGGATTTCAGAGCTGCTCCAAGGCAGCGCCGGCTCCAGAGGTTTGCAGCTGCGGGGAAACTCAGAGGCAGAGGAGCGCGGGGGCCTTCACGGAGAGGAGAAGCCGGCCGTTCACATGCTGCCATCCCCTTACAGCAAGATCACCCCTCCAAGGAAACCTCACCGCTGTAGCAGTGGTCACGGGAGCGATAACAGCAGTGTCCTGAGCGGGGAGCTGCCCCCCGCCATGGGGAAGACAGCCCTGTTCTACCACAGCGGGGGCAGCAGCGGCTACGAGAGCATGATGAGGGACAGCGAGGCGACGGGCAGCGCCTCCTCTGCACAAGACTCCATGAGCGAGAACAGCAGCTCTGCCAGCGGCAGGTGCCGAAGTCTCAAAAATCCAAAGAAACGCTCAAATGCGGGTAAGTTTGCGGTGATGTGAAAGAGGGACACAGACCAAACCAGCTAACTAGTTTACGGTGGGGAGGCCAACCCTGAAGATGAGCTAGTTCAGTGCCAGCCGTATCTAGTAGCAGAGAAGCCATGCCAGGTTAAGTGTCCCAGGCTCTGAGCTTCTTCATTTTGCACCGTGCCCAAGTCTGTATGTTTGCATTGCCTATGCAGTGGAGTCTCCCCCTCACCCTTTTCACTTAGGTTTATTTCACATTAACAGAGCACATATCCCTAAAGCTGTTTCATGTTGCCAGTGGCCACTGCATTCAAGTATTTATTTGTACAAATATTCCTCTGATTTGATTCCAAAAAGATGCCTTCATGAGGCAGTGAGATGTAATTGTTACTCTTAAGCACTTTGGGCACAGACTAACCTCTTGGTATGTGTGTGTTACAGCGGCACAAGACCACAGTCTTGCTCAAGAGCAGTATCTGTTGTGAGCTCACTTTAGCTCCTTCTGCCATCTGGATGCCCAAAGGGTACAAGATGCCCTGCAGCTGAAACTGAGCTCCTTCTTCCCACCCATGTTAGAAGGCAGAACAAAGCTGTGGCCATGCCCCTTGTAAGATCATATCCTGCCTCTGAGTCTCTTGTTTTTTAACTTTTTAGTTGTGAGCCCTTCACTTCCAAGTATTTTTTTATTAATAAATAATAAATCATATTAATAACATTATAAATGTGGGAATTGCTTCACTGAAGTACTTACAAATCTGAGAGCTTTTTAGTCATCACAGAGCCGATCAGAAAGACTTCGTCTTTGTTCAGCCATAATCCCCAGTAGCTTTCATGCTGCATCAGCGCTTTTTAATCAGATAGCAAGAGCCTCCTGGGCCATGCCAGGAGTCTCTGCCGTTGCAGCTGGTACATCTTCTCACTAGAACATTAGAGTTTCAGAGGTTTGCAGGGAGGGGATGAGGAGCATCCACCAGCTGGACACCTCACCTTTTTCCTGGGTGCTGCTTTCCCAGCCTGAAGTGTGAGCCATGCCTAGTTTCTTTTTTTAAATAAGCATGTTGACATTGGAATGGGTATGTACAAGTATTTGTAATATCAGTGGCTACCTACCCTGCAGTAGCTCTGGCTGTGCAAAACGTGTTATTCTCATATAGTTCCTAATTCACCAGCCTTTCCACTTGCTGGGTTACTTGCCTCTGGGATTCATTTAGAGTGAATGAACTGAGTGATGCATTACCCTCTCTTCCCTCACGCTTTTGACTGCAGTAGCAGGAAGAACATGTGCAGCACAGATGTGAACACAATAGATACCACTATTAAAACCATATCCATAAGTGCATGGCTGATTTTACCTGTTCAGAGAATACGTCTGAAAGTGATAGCTGTTCATTGTGCAAGCAAGGGCCAAGTGATGAAATAATCTTTCTGATGCTAACTTTGCATCCTATGAGAAAGACTCTCTTCTATCCTTTCAGCATATATGGCAATGAATTGATTTTCCTCTTTCTGAGGAGCTGGTCCTCTAATGGCTCCTTTCAAATATGTACTTTTTTAATGGTAATGTGCAAGAAAAAGAAGGATGATTTTGTATGTTGTGGAAAAGGAACCCAAAGCTGACTACACAGATTGCATTGAGGGCATACAGGAAAGCTGGGGAGGGACTCTTTAAGGGAATGTAGTGTTATGGCAAGGAGTAATGGCTTTAAACTAAAAGAGGGTGGGTTTCGATTAGACATCAGGATGAAATTCTTCACTCAGAGGGTGGTGAGGCCCTGGAACAGGCTGCCCAGAGAAGCTGTGGATGCCCCATCCCTGGAGGTGCTCAAGGCCAGGCTGGATGGGGCTTTGGGCAACCTGGTCTGGTGGGAGGTGTCCCTGCCCATGGCAGGGGAGTGGAACCAGGTGATCTTTAAGGTCCCTTCCAACCCAAACCATTCTGTGAGTCTTTGATTTCTGGGATTGTAATGCTAACTAGATTGTATGTTATAGAGAAGTTGCCCATACGATATGGAGTTTTTCCACAGGACATTTGCCCTTTTTTTTTTTTTTTAATTCTGTAGCAAAAGCTGAGCCTCTTGATTTCTAATTGCCTTGGCAATGATATAATGACAGGCACGCAGTAAGCATCCTTGAGAGATGTCCATCTGCAGTAGACAAGTGGCTCTGTAAAGGTCACCATTCCTTTTTTTAGCTTAGAAGTAAAGCTTACAATCCTCCTCTTGTGACAGCCTATAATACCTTCCAGTTACTTCTGACACAGCTGGACAATTTCAACAAAATTTGACCCAGTAATAGAGGCAGAACTTTAACAATTTCGTGAAAACAGGCAGCTGTGCAGGTGAGGGAGCGGAGAGAAAACTGCAGTGTAGATTCAACCTTAGCAGACACCAGAGTCCATCCCTCTCTCTTGAATCTAGCCAACTTCGATCCTACCTGTCAGAGCTGTAATAGTGGTTTGTCATGCAGTACAGATATGCAAAGACAGTGAGTGATGGGACGAGCAGGAAGCTTTCCTTACCAGGGAACACAGAGAGTCAGCTTTGCCACTCTTTCTTTACTGCTGAGTGAAATATGACCTTTTTCTCCAAATACAGCTCTGTCTCTGGATGACAAATTCATGTCTTTAGTCGAATTTAGTCGAATTCCTGGCCGCCCGGCCAGGAAGATAGCGCCGATAACTTATTCTTTACAGAACTAAGAGAGGCCTCGAGATTAACTCCCCTTGTCCTTATGGGGGACTTCAACTTGCCAGACGTTAACTGGGAGTGCCACACGGCTGACACGAGCAAGTCCAGGAGGTTCATGAAGCACCTAGATGATAACTTCTTGGTGCAGGTGCTAACGGAGCCAACTAGGAAAGGTGCCCTCCTAGACCTGTTGCTAGAAAACAGAGAGGGTCTGGTGGGAGATGTGGTGATTGGTGGCCGCCTCGGTCATAGCGACCATGAAGTGGTTGAGTTCAAAATTTACGGTGACAGAAGGAAAAGTGCCACCAAAACCTCATCCCTAGATATGGGGAAGGCGGACTTCAGGCTGCTCGGGGAACTAGTCAGCAAGGTCCCCTGGGAAGCTGCTCTTGAAGGCCTTGATGTCCACCAGTGCTGGTCACTCTTTAAGCGATGCCTCCTAGAAGCACAAGATCAGGCAATTCCTAAATATCGCAAGTCAGGCAGGCGGGGCAGGAGGCCGTCGTGGCTGACCAGGAACATTCTGATGGAGATTAGGCAGAAACAGAGAGTGTTTCGCTACTGGAAGGAGGGCCAGGTGACATGGAAAGAATACAGGGATGCTGCTCGTGTCTGTAGGAAGAAAATTCGTGTGGCTAAAGCACACCTAGAGTTGAAGCTGGCTGTGTCTGTGAGAGAAAATAAAAAGGGTTTTTTTAGATATGTGAATGGAAAAAGGAGAACTAAAGAATACATAGGGCCGCTCCTTGACAGGGAAGGTCTTCTCACAGACGATGACATAGGCAAAGCAGAGACGCTTAACGCCTTCTTTGCCTCTGTCTTCAATGCCGATGATGGGCTTCGGGACCCAGGGTGCACCGAGCTGGAGGACCGGGACGGTGGGGATGACAAACTCCCAACCGACTCTGAACGTGTGCGGGATCTGCTACTCCACCTGGATCCCTACAAGTCCATGGGTCCGGATGGGATTCATCCCCGGGTGCTGAAGGAGCTGGCGGACGTCATCGCGGAACCTCTCTCAATTATTTTTCAACGATCCTGGGAGTCTGGAGAGGTCCCGGTAGACTGGAAGCTGGCAAATGTTGTGCCGATTTTCAAGAAGGGTCAGAAAGAAGACCCTAGCAATTACAGGCCTGTCAGTCTCACATCAGTGCCTGGTAAAATCATGGAGAAGATGGTTCTCGAACGTATTGAGGCGCACCTGGGGGACAAAGCAGTCATTGGTCCCAGCCAGCATGGGTTTGTGAAGGGTAGGTCCTGCCTAACTAACCTGATTTCCTTTTATGATAAGATCACCCGTATGGTGGACCAAGGGAAACCAGCTGATGTGATTTTTTTGGACTTCAGCAAGGCTTTTGACACGGTTTCCCATAGGATCCTACTGGACAAAATGTCCAGCATACAGCTAAATAAAAACATCATACGATGGGTGAGCAATTGGCTAACGGGCAGGGCCCAAAGGGTTATGGTGAATGGGGCTGCGTCAGGCTGGTGGGCGGTCACTAGTGGGGTCCCTCAAGGCTCCATTTTAGGGCCGGTACTTTTCAATATTTTTATAAACGATCTGGATGTAGGAATAGAAGGCATTTTGAGCAAGTTTGCTGATGACACCAAACTTGGAGGAGTTGTGGACTCGAATGAGGGTGGAAAGGCCTTGCAGAGGGATCTGGATAGGTTGGAGAGCTGGGCGATCGCCAACCGCATGAAGTTCAATAAGAGCAAGTGCCGGGTCCTGCACCTGGGACGGGGAAACCCTGGCTGCACGTACAGACTGGGCGATGAGACGCTGGAGAGCAGCCTAGAAGAGAGGGATCTGGGGGTCGTGGTAGACAACAAGTTGAATATGAGCCGGCAGTGTGCCCTGGCAGCCAGGAGGGCCAACCGTGTCCTGGGGTGCATCAAGCACGGCATCGCTAGTAGGTCAAGGGAGGTGATTGTCCCGCTCTACTCTGCGCTGGTGCGGCCTCACCTCGAGTACTGTGTGCAGTTCTGGGCACCACAGTATAAAAAGGACATGAAACTGTTGGAGAGTGTCCAGAGGAGGGCTACGAAGATGGTGAAAGGCCTGGAGGGGAAGACGTATGAGGAACGGCTGAGGGCACTGGGCCTGTTCAGCCTGGAGAAGAGGAGGCTGAGGGGAGACCTCATCGCAGTCTACAACTTCCTCGTAAGGGGGTGTCGAGAGGCAGGAGACCTTTTCTCCATTAACACCAGCGGCAGGACCCGCGGGAATGGAGTTAAGCTGAGGCAGGGGAAGTTTAGGCTGGACATCAGGAAGGGGTTCTTCACAGAGAGAGTAGTTGCACACTGGAACAGGCTCCCCAGG